AGTGACAATGAAAGAAGTTTTAAAAATCACTGTTTTTCGACGTAATTTCCACAGCTAAATCTGACAACGCCGCGCGAGTCGACGACGGGCTGTCAGTTCGGAAAATTGAACGAACGTCGTCAGGGTTGAAAGGGGTGGGGTGGGTGCAAAGACGGCGCAGGGGATTGGGGGAGGCTACGATGATTGATGTCCGCGATTCATCATCGTTATTTCCTTTCTTGACACTCTTTCAACTTTTACTTTGTCCATAACTACCCGCCGAGCCGATGATAAATATTCGGCAAGTGACGTGCGCAGTTCATCGCAGAGGGCGCCGATTATGGATCACTTGCTCTCGCGTCAGAGCTTTATTCGAAAAAAAGTTGTACGCGTTTATTCTTGCTACTTTCGATGTTTAAACTGTTTTTTTGGCGTATTAAAGTCTTTGAAAGAAATGAAACTATAATTGTCGTGTGTAAAATTTTATATTCTTTTAGGATATGCCATAGTTTCATATGGAATGTTAGTAGTTTTATAGGAGTACTAGGGAGAGACATCTCTAGTTCTTGAGATTTTGTCTATGTTTATCGTTAGAAATGTTAATAATAATACAAAGTAACTTAATTTTACAGGAATTGTATAGAATTTTATGTACTTTTAGGATATGTATAGCATTGTGGAAAAATTTTATAAGAATCTTTAAGTGTAATCGTAATTTTCAAAATTTCTTTGATAGATCTAGTTGAATAATCAGACTATACCTGTATCCACCATTTTAAAAAAATATTAGTAATGGTCCGAAACAGGTGAAACTATACTTTTCGGGTATAAAATTTTATATTCTTTCAGAATATGTCTTTGTTAGATCTGAAATATTAATAGCTTCGGGTCTAAAGTACCAAAAACAGTTTCAGTTTTTATCATTACCGTTAAACATATTAATAATGATACAAAACAACTGAATTTTACAGGAAATATAAAGAATTTTATGTACTTTTAGAATATGTATAGCATCGCCAGAAAATATTAGAATCTTTAGTTGTAGTCTTAATTTCCAAAAATCCTTTCATAGATCTGACTCTCGAAGAACCGAATACCTCTATAGAATACCCGTTAGATTCGTATATTAAAAACAGACCAAAAACTATTTTGGAAAACGATTTGTGGACATTTTTAGTAAGGTTTTCATCACGTGATAAAACGGATTTAATATTACATTAACTTTGAAGATCTAGTCAAATCTAGGTCTAAAGGGTGCGTCTCAAAAGTGGCTCACCCCCTATAACTTTTTTATTTATTCATATAAAAAAACGAGATTTGGTATATTAGTATATGACATAAATTAGGATTGATTGACGTATTCAATTGTTTTTGGTCGCTTCCTGTTTCGCCGGAAATGACTGCAACTTTTGATTTTTAAATGGCACCCTTCGTATATTTTTACTTTATTCGATAGAAAATGACATTCTGAATCGAAAGACATATCATATGTCAGGTTTTGATATATTCGCTCAAAAACAAATTGTATTTTAAATTTCAATCTAGAGTGCCATGGCTGTGTTAAAAACAATAATTTTTAATCAAGGAGCCTTGGAAAAATAGATTTGATCGTCTAATGTTTTTAGTGTCTTGTCCCTGGCAGGTTAAAAGATGCCCATATCGTAATTTTAATCATATCTCAATCTTTTTAAATAGAACCAGGGTGACTCATTAACATTTTTGGAAAAAGCCTTTTTTTAAGAATAATTTGATACCACACACTTGGCATTTCGAGTCAAATTGTCGTTATGAACCGCATGTTATAATTTCAAATAAACGATATGCGAAAATGTCAAAAGATGACATATGATATGTAATTCTATTCAGAGTGTCATTTTCTATCGAATAAAGCAAAAAAAAATACTGAGGGTGTCATTTAAAAATCAAAAGTTGTAGTCATTTCCGGTGAAACCGGAAGTGACAGAAAACAATTGAATATGTCAATCAATCCTAATTTATGTCATATACAAACATACCAAATCTCGTTGTTTTATCTAAAAAAAAACAAAAAAGTTATAGGGGTGAGCCACTTTTGAGATGCACCCGGTATGATAATTACGTTTATTATTAGTGCAAATTTCAGAAAAAAAACTTGTTTAGAATTTAACTAACAATGTTTGTGTTAATTTTAATTATTTTTTATTCAAAAACGTCCAGATCTGGCGGGAAACCCGCAAACTTGACAACAGTGCATACCGGCGTAATCTTGGCGAATATACGCTCCCTGTCGACACTAACTAGCGTTTTAATCGCGTACGCCGTCGCGGCAGCGCCGGTAGCGCGCCAGAAATACGTCCACAGATTAGGAATTAATTAATTAAGCGGACGCTAGGGAGAACGCGCGAGCGACAGAGATAGAGAACCTAATGAGATTAAGCCCGGCCGACTCTAATTGATAGCCGCGAGCGCGATAGCCTTGTAAGTACGCGTGTAGATGGCGCTTTTTACCGGCCGGAGAAGTGCTTTACGTCATCAGATAAAGGAGACAGCGCAGCGCAGCAAAGCGGAGACGCTTATCTGCGCAGAGGCGGGTAAAGAGATTTGTGTCGCGCTGTTAATGCGTGTTAAGGTGGATTTTTTTCTTGTTTGTTTTATCGATAAAAGCGTTGGAATAGAGGGATATAAAATTAGAGACATTGTGCTAGTGTTTTCTTCGAGAAAATTAACATTAACTGAATAAAGAGATCTTTTAAAATTGTTTTTTTTGCCACATCTTTTGACACGTTTTTTTTACCACAGCTTTTATTCCATCAACATCTGAAGATATGGATGGTTTCTTATACAGGGTGATTCGAACCAAGTTCATCCAAATATTGGCATTGCTTCAGAAATGATTTGGAAAAAACCGAAATAAAAATGAAACTTCTACACCCTGTATCTCCGAAACTAGGTATGTTGGGACATACATTTATACGAACTGTTTTACTTATTTTTATTTGCAGAATATGCTGCCGAAGTTTCCGAAATACAGTTCAGGCCACCCTGTAGATAGCAACATCTGAAGGCATGGTTGACTTCTTGTACAACGAGAAGTTTTGGAGGTTTAACACATATTTTTTACAAATACAAATGTCTTCAGATGTGCATGAAACATGCCTTCAATTGCACTATTATTATGTCTCGAATCCTGCCTAAAATATAGAAAATTGAAGAATTCTAAATATTTCTAAGATCCAAGATAAATATGTGAAACAGAAAAAACTTAATATAAGGGTTATCATAAAATGGAGCTGATGTGTGGAGCAGATGTTACATCAACATTTGAAGACATGGATAGCTTCCTATACATCCCCTGCGGCCTTCGTATAAGCTTCATTATATTCAACTGTTTTTACATGACAAAGCCTCTCTACCATTTCTTATCAATCTCCCCAAGCAGGAACGTCATCAAACCACAGATCGCTTGTAAAAATCCTCGACGACAGCCGACATTCCTGCAGCTCGCGCATCGGCAGCAGGACGGCTCGTTACCTTCTTCTGCCCGTCCAAGAACCGCGTGTCCATCACTGTCACCGGCCTGTGTCGTAAATCAATCGGCTGGGATCGTTTCCCGAATTATTCATGTCGCTGCTCTCGCCAGGTCTAGAGGACCGTAATTGGTCTCGGCGGTTCCTTTTTCATGGTAAAAAGAAGAAAATACAGCCAACAGGAAGCCCTCTATGAATATTTCATCGTTTTTCGTCATGACGTTTTCATGGCCTTAGAAGAGACGTTTTTCGATTTCAAAGTCGGCTTTGATCGAGAAACAAGACGTCTACAGGTGCAGCTGTTCAGGTTTTACAGTACCGAGTGTTACTTATGCGAATTAATGATCTTTTTCGGACTTCTTCGTACGTTAGGACTAGGTCCTGTGTTTTCTTAAAAGGTTCCCTAGGAACGGTTTGGATGATGAAGACCTTGCAGCTTTCATGCCATCTTATTAGGTTTTCCAGGTGTGATTGGTCGTTTCTCTTTAGAAATTTTATTCTGCCAATCATTCTGTCCACATGGTCTCTCTACTTATTTCTTGGTAACATTGTATGGATAATGATAACGCTGTATTTTTAATATCTTAAGCAGAACGTTGACAAAAATAAGGATTAAATCTCCAGGAGGTCTACAGAAAGCCATCCATGTCTTCAAAAAGGTACGGAATGTAACAAGAAAAGCATCATAATACATTATACTGAAAAATTCGGCTTGTTCAGCTTTTTTAAAACTTCTATGACAAAAAAAAACGAGCTAAAAACCAGAATATCTTCAGATGCATCATTGTGTCGAAAAGAAATCTTGCTTTTACAACCTTCTTGACTTCTTTCATAAAATTAAGTGCATAATACCAGAGGCTGTACAAGAAGTCATCCATGTCTTCAGATAAGGATGAAATGTGCCATCAGACGTATTATTGTACCGAAAAACTTGCTTATTTATTTTTCTTAAGGCTTCTTCGATAATAATATAAGTGTGAAAATACCATATGATGTAAAAAAAGTCATCCATGTCTTCAGATGCCGATGGAAAATGCTATCGGAAGCTTCATTACGCGAAAAATCCATGCTTATTTATTTTTTTAACGATTTTTTCGATAAAAATACGTGTAAAAATACCATACTGTGTATAAGAAGCCATCAAGGTCTTCAGGTATGCATGAAACATGTCTTCAGTTACACTATTATGTCTAAAATCTTGCCTGTTTAATTTGTTATTAAATTCTTTAATAAATAAGGGTTAAAATATAGAAAATCCAAGAATTCTAAATATTTCTACAATCCAAGATAAATATGAGAGACAGAAAAAATCATAAAAAATAAATTTAGATAAATACTATACCTATAGGGATATGAGATAAACCTTGTATTAATTTTATAGAGAGAGAGAAAAATAGATAGTTTATTATTAATTGACAATTAATTATCTCATTTTATAGACAATTAATTAATAATAAAATATAAAATTATTAATTCAAATTTCCTTTATTAGTATATCCCTGGTTGCATACGTTTCAGATTGTGTCACATATTGCGCCCCTCACGCCGCGCCGCTGGCAGCCATTTTGAAAGAATCTAAAAACAAAAGGTTTGTTTTCTTAGCGTCCTTTATATTTTTGCATAAATATTAATATTAATTTATTGTTTTAGTGTATTGGGCTGTTAAAACAGAAAGTGCAGAAGGTAAACTATTGCTGTAACAATTCTTAAAGCTGCCAAGAACATAGAAATGTAAGTACAATCTTTTTTATCTTCCCTTGTAAATGACTGCATAATTTCTACATTAAACCTTATAGATTAGTATTGATATTTTTCCTTTATTGTTGTATTTTGTCGACAGTAAATCTATTTAAGTTGTTTATAGTATTATAAATGTGCCACTGGGCACGAAATAACCTTTTTGATCAAAATATCTCTTTGTATAGTGCCCTAGCCCTACCTGGTCTAATCAAGACATGTTTGCATGATAATTTACTTGTATATCATTTATTTCACTATCCTGGTGACTATCCTAGCATTACAAAGGGGTATTTTAGATTTTGATTTACTTTTTAAACCAAGGAAATTATACATTAACTGATATTTTACTTATTTCAGGTGGCTTATAACTCTTTTGGCAGTCTTCTATAGTAGATAGTTAGATTTTTATTAACTAGGAAGTGGCCTGGACATTCATACCGAAAGCAGGTAATTTGCATGAAATATTTTTAATAAAGGGTTAAATTTCTTCTTGTTTTAGCTCGATCAAGAATTGGTGAGTGCCTTGGGACATGTTTTGCTGTATGAATTGTATGGAAATTCAGGAAAAAAAGTATGTAAGTATACTTTTATCCTCATAAATACCTCAAATATAATGGCTGTTTTTTATGTTTTAATGCAGATTACCACAGGGAATATGTTTTTACTCGTATGGTTAGGTGTTTATACAATGGCAACTGGAAAGCTGGATAGCATCGAAGCCAGATCTTCAATAAAGGTTAGTGATATAGTTTAGTATGTATTTTGCTTATGTATTCAGGTGTATCTATAACTATAAAGTATATTTGCTCTATTTATCTAAAAATAAGACTAGGATTCTTTAGAAATCTGCTACCTAGTTGTTATTGTGCTTTTTTTATACAGTTGTCTGTAAATATCTCGTACAACTTTGTATCATCAAATGATTTCAAATAAATATAATAAATCAATTTCAAAACTGGAAATTATAAAGTAATTTTTTAGTCATAGAAACAAAAGTATTTTATTATTCGAATATTTCAAAAGAAATAAACCTTGAGTTGTATCTAGTTTTGAACTTCTATACCTTCTATATTATTAAATATTTTTTAATATTTAGATTTGATATAGTTCATAGCTTTTTATGCATTTTTTATTTGTTATTTAGTATTGGATATTTTTTTTTCTTAAAAAAAACTTACTGACTTTATACAGGGTGTCCCAGAAATAAGTGCAAGTATTTTAAGGGATGGCAGATCTCGACAAAAGAAACATATTTTCTCTTTATCGTTTTTCAAATAAATCCAAAAAATAGAGTTATTTTAGTTTGAAAATTCCCAAAAAAATGATTTTTTTTTGCTAAAATTTTGAGAACAACTGGAACTTTTCTGGATTTTCTTTCTTGTAAATTTAATCTAATACCTATGTTGCCATATTATTAAGAAATTATGTTATATAGGCGTGTTTCTGGAGTTGAACGGACATAGGAAATCCCATGTAATTTTTGAAATGACAACTTCATTTGACAGTTATCTTTTACCTTGACTGGTGCTAATATGAGAAATATTTAAAAAGTAATCGGCGATAACTCGTAAACGGGCTAATCAAAAACATCTAAAGTTATTCTTTTGAATGTGGGTTTTAGTGCTCTTCAATAAACCTAAATAGAATTATTCTCTAAAATAATTAGGGAAGCCAATAACTGACCGCATTAAAATTTACATGGGATTTCCTATGTACCCGCTCGACGATGCAACACCCGGTATATGATTTTTCAATGTCTTTTTGATGGTGGAACACTTTTTCAACTACACCACATACATTTCTTTAGTAAAAAATATGAAGTAGGTAAGTACTGCATGTTTTGAATAAAAATATATTTTTTAAAACTGATTTTATGAAAAGTGAAACTATTTTATGATGCTCAAAATATAGAGGGATTTGAAATATTAGATTATATTTATTTTCTAGATATTGTTATATGCATTTTTCATATAATTTTGTTTTAAATCTGTATACCAAATGAATATGAGTGGGTATTATATTTTTATAAAGAAGAAAGATAATTTATAAAAAATATTAGGTAGAGTAAAATCTTTTCTGGAAGACAGACAGGTGAGACAGGCAATATAATTTTTTGAGAAAAATGCATCAATGTCTAAAAATGTATAATTAATTTTTGAGTATATAGGACATTATAATTTTTATAGTGCAAAATATTAATAATACTATTTTTCTTCTTTTCTCGGGAAAACCATAGGCGTATCATACAGGGTTTTTTACACAATCGGCTCATTGATAATTTTTGAAATTTAAGTAGGATATTTAATCAATTAGTTAGTAGTAGGTTACTAGAAGAAATATTAAGCAGAGTAAAGTCTGTTCTGAAAGATAGACAATATAAGCATAAAATACACAGGTTGTTGTATTTTATAAAAAAAAGTAGCGTGTACCAGCGACTTCGTTCGCGTCGAATTAATCACTTGTAATGGTGATGATAAAGCAAAGCAAGAATTTCCATTAACATACAAACTGGATAAAATTTTCTCCCATTTATGTCAGCATGAGTAAAAACAATATGGCGATATTATTATATAACTTGGTAATATTTGAGGGGTAGTTTCATCTCGTTGGAATTTGACTTTAGAAAAATCCGTTTGCCAAAAATAAGCTTTTTACGTCAAGCAGTTTAAGCAGAATCGTGGTTAAGAAATTACCCAACTTTTTGGAACACCCTGTTTGATTTTTTAGAAAAATTCAAAATATGTAAGAAACCAAATAAATTATGCTTGTCCAAGCGTTTTCCCGAAAGACTAACCGTTTTTTAAATAACAAATATTGTAATATTTGAGGGGCATTTTCACCCTCTTGGAATTTGAGATTTCAGAAACCCCTCCTTATCGAACCTCTACACCCCACAGTCAATCCGTTTGCCAAAAATCAGCTTTAAACGTCAAGCAGTTTAAGCAGAATCGTGATTACTCAATGGTCATATTTTATGAAACACCCTGTATAAATTTATAAAAAATCTTAAAATATGTAAAACAACAAAATAAAATATACGTGTTTAAGAGTTTTTCCGAAAAACTCACCGCTTTTTAAATAAGAAATATTGTAATATTTGAGGGATAGTTTTACCCCCTTAGAAATCGAGTTTCGAAAAATCCCTTCTTATCGAACCTCTACACCCTAAAGTCAATCTGTTTTTCAAAAATCAGCTTTTTACGTCAAGCGCTTTAAGCAGGATCGTGATTAATCAATGACCAGATTTTTTAAACACCCTGTATACATGTTTAAAAAATCTTAAAATATGTAAAAAAACAAAATAAAATATACGTGTTGAAGCGTTTTTTCGGAAACTTGGCCGTTTTTTAAATAAAAAATATTGTAATATTTGAGGGGTGGTTTCACCCTCTTGGAACTGGAATTTCGAAAAATCCCTTCTTATCGAACCTCTACACCCTAGAATCAACCTGTATGCCAAAATTAAGCTGCTTGCGTTGAGTGGTTTGAGCAGGATCGTGATTAATCAGTATGTCAGTCACTTAAGCATTTTATATATTGGTATAGATATATGATCTAGGGTTAAGACGTTCGCGTTTTTTCTAGGCCCACCCAGTATATACCGTCGTTTTCTCTAAACTCACGACACAATTTAACTGTCAAAATTTCCCTCTAGCAGAGCCAGGAACAAACAAAAATCAATTTTCGAAGGTTTTGTGCCCTTTTCGAGCATTGTACCGGATGACAAACGGCGCGATGGGTGTTTGCTTATCGTTTTTGACCGCTCCGACAGCTGTCAAACGTTATTAATGACGGGGGCGAGTGCCTGTTTGTTCGGGTGTTACCGATATTTGTCGTATTTTATTTTATACAAGGCGTGTCAACTTTTGGAATTTGTACATACTGTGTAGATAGATACTTTCGAAGGGTAAAATATTTGTCTTGTAATAATGAATTAAATGCGTACAGGGTATCTTTTAAATAGGTGCAAGTATTTTAACCGGTATGTACCGTATGATCGAAAAAAAAACGGCGTCAGTGACTGCTGGGAAATGACACTCAATGATAATTTTGGTGAGGTCAATCAACCAAAAATTGACATTAAACTTATCAAAAATTAACACTAATTATAGAAAGATTAAAAAGCGGGACATATGATATGCCATTCTATTCAGAGTGTCATTTTCTATCGAATAAAGTAAAAAATTATCGAGGGTGCTATTTAAAAATCAAAAGTTGTAGTCATTTCCGGTGAAACAGGAAGTGGCCAAAAAGAATTGAATACGTCAATCAAGCCTAATTTATATCATATACTAACATACCAAATCTCGTTTTTTTAGCTGGAAAAATAAAAAAGTTATAGGGGTGAGCCACTTTTGAGACGCACCCGGTATACTCTCATATTTTGCGAAATTTGTTACAGGGATTTAAAATCCATGGACATTTTTTTCCATATTTTTTCAAGTAATCATCTTTGTTAAGGTAAATCCATTGGTGTCCCAAAAAACTGGGTGTTACACGCTTTAGTTCTTATTCTTTTCTTTTTCCGAATAATAAAAGCCACTCCGGGCCGCGTTTACGAGCGGCCGTGTCATCGCTACGCCTCCGCAGTTACAATTACGCGAAGGAAATTGAGTTTGTGTCGCCCCGAGACGGTTTTTTATGCTGCCGGACGGGTTTTCGAGATGGTTATCGGCCGAGCAAACGTCCCATTTCACTATCTTTTTCGGATTGTTACACCGGACCTGGTAGCAGCTACACGCTTGTAACGATGGGTATGTGGGTTGTTACGAGGGTGGAACGATTACGTTCGTAGTGTGTAATATAGTCTGCCCAACGACAAAATCCTTGACAGTGATAGATGTGTCTGTCATTTTAATTTCAAAGTAGTTTATTTTATTTTACAGAGAAATAAGTTGGTAAAATTGGAACTAGGGAGTGCAATCCCGCAAATGCTGGATCCGGCAAATGCGGGATCCCTCTGTGATTCAGCGGGATCAAAGTTGCGGGATTTACCGTCGGGATCTGCGGGATCGACACCAGGGGATTTCCCTTACGGCTTGGCCATTAAAAATAAGTGAAACAAACAGGTTAATTGTTAGATTTCTTTCTGGCGTGCCTAAGTGAAGAAAAGCGTTTATTTAGTACTTTTGGACAATTACGTCAAATAAACTGCCGGACATAATTATCGGGACAAGCAGAATTTTAGGGTAAATTTAAAGTTGCATATCTCTTGAACTAAAAAAGATTTTGGGATGCGGTTTGGACCAGGTTTTAGATGCCTCTATTGTGATTAAGATACTATTTAGTTTTCAAAAATATGAAAATATATTTAGCGAATTCTCGTATACAGGGTGTTTTATAAGAGTGAAAATTTGGTTAAGAATCATTTTTCAACCCCCAATCATCAATCAACCCCCTCCCATACCTCCTTACCAAACCCCACCCCCACCAAAAACTAGATTCTCGGGTGCCACAGTATTTTTGTGCCAAATTTGGTTAAAATCGGTTTAGCGGTTTTTGAGTTATCGTGTTACAGACGGACAGACAGACAGACACCATGAAAATATTTTGTATTTAGGTCATTTATGACCCAAATAACTAATTTTGAGTGAAATTAAAAAAACTTTTTTTGCCGATCTTAATGGTCGGCAAAAATGAGCGATTCGGAAAGTATTCCTTCTGA